AACGGCACACGAGGGGGGGTGGGCGGCTAACATCGCGATACTGGTGTTTACACACCGCCACCAAGTTACTAATTTAAGGCAGAGCCGACCTAGGGGACGCCCGCCGGATTGGTTCAGATGATCGTTGCTCTCGTTGGCCGTGATCGGGAATGGAACTCGAATGGCCTGGTTCGTAGCGCGGCGCGCTCACCGCTGCGCCACCGCTCCCCACACACGCGCACACTCACACACACCACACACCCACGCACGCACGCACTCTCTCTCTCTCGCGTTCTCCCTTTATCTATTTCATCCTCCCTCTCGCTCGGTCCATCTCCCATTCTGCCCTCCCCCGCGCCATCACTCCCACATTTTCTCTCCATCGCTCTAATTTCTTTCCCACATACCTCTCCCGACGTCCCTTCTCCCCCATCTCCCACCACACAGTGCTCGTCCTCTCTCCCACTCTCACACACTCTCCTGACTCTCCCTCCCACTCTCACTCTCACACACTCTCCACTCTCTCCCACTCTCACACACTCTCCTGACTCTCCCACTCTCACACACTCTCCTGACTCTCCCACTCTCACTCTCACACACTCTCCTGACTCTCCCACTCTCACACACTCTCCTCTCTATCCCTCCCACTCTCACTCTCACACACTCTCCTGACTCTCCTACTCTCACTCTCACTCACTCTCCTGACTCTCCCACTCTCACTCTCACACACTCTCCACTCTCTCCCACTCTCACACACTCTCCTGACTCTCCCACTCTCACTCTCACACACTCTCCTGACTCTCCTACTCTCACTCTCACACACTCTCCTGACTCTCCCACTCTCACACACTCTCCTCTCTCTCCCTCCCACTCTCACTCTCACACACTCTCCTGACTCTCCCACTCTCACACACTCTCCTGACTCTCCCACTCTCACACACTCTCCTCTCTCTCCCTCCCACTCGCCCTGCCACACTCACACACTTTCCACTCTCTCCCACTCTCACACACACACTCACACACTCTCCACTCTCTCCCACTCACACACTCTCCTGACTCTCCCACTCTCACTCTCACACAATCTCCTCTCTCTCCCTCCCACTCTCACTCTCACACACTCTCCTCTATCTCCCTCCCACTCGCCCTGCCACACTCACACACTCTCCACTCTCTCTCCCACTCCCACTCACACTCTCCACTCTCCCTCCCACTCTCACTCTCACACACTCTCCACTCTCTCTACCACTCTCACACACTCTCCCTGCCACACTCACACACTCTCCACTCTCTCTACCACTCTCACACACTCTCCCTGCCACACTCACACACTCTCCCCTCTTTCTCACACTCTCACACTCTCCCCTCCCCCTTCTCTTACCCTGCAATCTCCCTCCCTCCTACTCTCACACTCTCCCCACTGTCTCTCACTCTCACACACTCCCCCTCCCACTCTCACACACTCTCCCTTATTTTTTTACGATCAGAGGAAACAAGAAGATGCTCGGTGTAGTCGGCACTTTGCTTCGTTCATCATTTAGTTTTTTTATGCTTTGCTTTATGTTAACCCCCCCCCCCCTTTTTTTAAATGAAATATTTCACGAAAGATTTCACGCTCTGCTCTCCTTACCCATTCCCTCTCTCTCTACCCCCCTCTCTCTCTACTCCATGTTGCCCCTATGTTTTCTATGTAATATTTGTAATATTATTATTATTTTTATATATAAAAAATTATTACGACAAGTGCTACATCTGCACCCAGCCTCTCTCGTAGTCCTACGGCCTCCGACGGGTAGCTCATAACTGCATGCAGAGCTCCCCGTCATCTGCCACCGAGCACACGGCCTCCTCCATCGCCCACTGCACCTTGAAGGCCGGCACGGCGTGGGTCAGCCACGCATGGCGGATCTCCAGCCCACACACCCTGGCTCCGACCAGAGCGCTCCCTTCTCTCTCCCTCTACAGTTGCTCAGCCTACCTTCCCCCACCCTGCACACCACGCGTCCCACCCATCGCTACCTCCTTACATCTGCAACTCTCTCCTGGCACGAGCCGTCACGAACTCCCCAACGTTACCCTGACCCGGGGAGGCCTCGCCTAGTTCAGTAACGAAGCATTCATTTTTGACACATCCCATCAGCCACACGGCCTTCTGGGAGCAGGATTGGTTCAACACAAACCATTAAACTCTTACAATTTTTATTTATTTACCAGCTAAGACCCAATGATCTATATATCTCTTGTTCAGAAGCGACCTGCCCAACACAATAATAGCTCAACGAAGTGGCTCCGAATTTCTAGCAGCCAAAATACTCTAAACGCGTGTTTCTGAGTGTGGAGGGAAATAGCGGAGGATCCGGAGAAAAATCCACGCCACCACGGGGAGAGAGACACGCACACTCGCAAATGTACAGCAGGCGTCAGGGTCGGGATCGAACCCACGCCCGCCTGTATACCAGACGCGGTAGTTAACAGCTAGCCACGGCGGTTTTGACATTCAGTTCCTCATCAGCAGTCAGGCTTGCTTGGGCCATGGGTGGTGACCTGCCAGATGTTCATAGACAAGGGCCCTCTGTGTATGTGTGTGTTTAGATGTGGGTCCTGTGTACACAACACACAATACAGGGCGATCACTGGTGTCGCTGTGGAGAGTCTCACTCTCAAGGTACCCGCTGCCACAATTGGCGGTGGTTGCAGTCGGCATACTGAACTCCGCGGTGCAGAAGACGACGCAGGTTCGATTCCATCTCCCGGCTGCGGCATTTGAACGATGGCGGCAGGGTCTTCTCAAATGACCCGCACACCATCACCCTCACCACCATCACCCTCACTCCCGCCTCTGTCCACCCAGCTGGTTTAATGGGTTCACCACCACGCTTAGTCGACCGGCAGGTTGCGTGACGGTGGGGCGAAGTGTGGGTATGCCCTCCGCTCGTCTGCTCCAACGTGGCAGGCCAAACGCCCTTTCTCGTACAGGTAACTCGAGTGCAGAGGGCCTGCCCGGCTTTTGCCAGCGGTGGGGCGACCACGCAAGTTGCAGGGCTGCGCCTTTACCACCCGCCCCGCGTCACTAACCGTGCCACCACCGCTCTTCCTGTTCCCCCCGCCCCTCCCAGCGGCCGCCGTGTGCCAGGTGACCCCGGGGGGGGGGGGGGGTCACGATGGCCATGCGAGTCGACGCCTCTACACAGACGGTCGGCCTCTTCTGCTTCTGGGACCTCGACGAGGTGAGCGTCGACGTCTGACCACCCCCCCTCCCCATTCCACGTTCTCATACCGGGCCCCAGTCCATCCACTGGAAGAAAGACTTACTAACTGTTGTACGCTCCAAGTCAACGCTCAGTTCTCTAATCTCCCAGAACTAAACTATTTTATTTTACCAGGTAAGGCCCACTGGCTACCATCAATGACAGCTCAACGGAGTGGCTTATCACGTGGATACATTTGTAGCAGGCGAATATTCTAAACGCGTGGTGACGTCGCTTCTAAATGTGGAGGGAAAAACCGAAGGACCCATAGAAAAATCCACCTGACCACGGGAAGAGAGAGAAACACTGCAAACTACAAATAGCAGCAGCAGGCGTCAGGGTCAGGATCAAACCCACAACCTCCTGTATACCAGGCGAGGTGGTTAACATTCATGAGAACTCTGAAGACTGTCACGAGCGTGCTTTAGTCTGGCTCTTTGAGCCTCGGGCACCACCAGCACGGACCATCACGAATCTGATGCGTGTGCCTTGATTCTGTCCGTCTGTGAACGACTGCATCCACTGACGAGCCGTACAACATGCAGTGGCGGTGTGGGGAGGGTCTATGGAACTGTGGGACCGTGGCGAGGGGAGTCGAGAGTGTGTGGCGCAAAGAGGGCACAAGACGGAAGGGGGTGGGGGGCTGGGGAGGGGGGGGGGCAGCACGGAGAGCAGGGAAGGGAAGTCGTTACGGGAGTCCCCTGGATCAGCATTCTTCACTCATTTTCAAAGGCGGGGGGGGCGGGGGTGGACACTTTTGCCCATAAGACATCATCAGTGTGAGGGGCCACCTACACATTATTTGCAACCATTGTTGGGCTGGACAGCAGCACGATGACGATGATGATGATGGGGGATGTTGTCACTCTTTGTGTGCTGTCGGGGGTGGGGGGATGTCGGGGGCCGCACCAAGGCCCACCAGAGGCCCCGCGGTGGCCTTGCGATGAAGAACGCTGCACATAGACAAGGAGGAGGAGGAGGGCACGGCTCAAGATGAGCAGCAGGGACAGAGGAAGGAGGAGGAGGAAGGAGGAGGACAGGGAGAAGGACCGGGCCAAGATGTCGGGGATGAGAGGGCGATGGTGGTGATGATGATGAGAGGGGCCGAGGGAGGAAGAGAGGAGGAGCGAGCAGAAGTGAGCTGCGCGCAGGAGGAGTGGAGTCTGTTTTTGTAGCAGGCGGCAGCAGGGAGAGGGATTTCAGAGTGGGGGTGGCCACACAGAAGCCACGTGATTTACGCGAGGCTCGAGCTGATTTAGAAATGAGTGCAATAACATGATTCAGAATCAGCATCTTTATTTATCCTGGAGAAATCCGATGAGCTTTGAAGCTGTTTTTCACAGATTCCCAGGGTAATCAGAGTCTAATAACAGAGGTCCTTGATAGAATTCCCTCCGTGTGTCCCCTTCTCTCGCCCAGGATTTATTCCGCAGGAAATTCGCTCCCAAGACGTTCCGGGAGATGGGGACACAGTTGGACGCAGAGGCCGCGTGGCCCCACCGGGCCCCGTCGCCGGCGGGCCCCGCGCCCACGGAGTCCGCGCCCTCTCCCCCCACGTGCTCCGCTCGCCACGGCGCTGCCGCCGCCGCCGCCACCGCAGCTCACCGCGAGCCCTGGCCGCTGCCGTCGGACCTCGAGCCGTCGCTCCCGGCTGCCGGCTATGGCTCGAGGAAGCGCAAGTGCCAACCCACCCGGCGCGTCTTCCCGGACAGCGGCGGCATCGGCGGCGGCATCGGCGGCGGCGACGGCGGCGGCGGTGCCGACGGTGCCGACGTCCGTGCGCCAGCTCGGCTGCCGACCGCGGCGTCCACCCCGCGTGGCCCTTCCGGCACGAGGGAGCCCGCGGACGGCTGGCGCTCCGCACCATCGGCCGTCACCGTAGCAACCGCCGCCGCGGACGCCGCCGCCGCCGCGTCGCCGCCGCCGCAGGGCCCGAGGTGCCGGCGCGCGCCGTGCGCCTGGGGCGACCTCGCGGGCGGCGCCGACGGCAGCGACCGAAAGTTCCGGGCCGAGGGCGGTGGGGCCGGGGTGACGGGCGGCGGGCCCTGCGTCGGTGCGGGCACGGCGGAGAGGCTTAGCGCCGGCGGTACCGCCGACGCGATGGAATCTTCTGCATCGTCGTCATCAGCGGTGGCTGCCGACGGCGCCATCGCAGGCACCGCTGGCGCCGCGAACAATGACCATGAGGCGGAGGAAGAGGAGGAGCAGGAGGAGGATAGGGACGACGACGACGACAATCGTGACGAAGACGATGGCGGCGGCGAGCGATCGCCGTCGGCCGCCGCGGCGGAGACGGAGGTCGAGACGAAGCGGCTGGACCGCATGGACGTGAGCGTCTGCATCGACGACTCCTACTGCGTCGCGGCGGCGGCGGGCGGCGGCGCGGCGGCGGCGGGGGGCGGTTCCGGCGGGGGGGGGCGGCGCTGGCAGTGCCGCCAGTGCGAGCGCTCCTACGCCTCCAAGTACAACCTGGTGACCCACATCCTGGGCCACAGCGGCGCCAAGCCGCACGCGTGCCCCCAGTGCGGCAAGCTCTTCCGCCAGCTGAGCCACCTGCAGACGCACCGGCTGACGCACGCGGGCGCGCGCCCCCACCCGTGCCACGTGTGCGGCCGCGCGTTCACGCAGACGAGCCACCTCAAGCGCCACCTGATGCGCCACGGCGCCGTGCGCTGCCACCCGTGCGGGCAGTGCGGCCGAGGGTTCGCCTACCCCAGCGAGCTGCGGGCGCACGAGCGCAGCCGCCACCCGCAGTCGGGCGGCGGCGGTCGCGACGGTGCTGCTGGCGGCGATGGCGGCGACGACGACGACGACGGCGATCGTGACGGCGGGGGTCGTGGCGGTTGCGATGGCGGCGATTGTGGTGGTGATGGTGGCGCCAACGTCAGTAACAACAGCAGCAGCAGCGCCATCGCCGGTGTGGGCAGAGGCGCGGGTGGTGATGGTGGCGATGGTGTGGACGATGAAGAAGAAGAGGAGGAAGAGGATGTGGGTGAACACCACAACGGCGGCGGTGGCGGCGGCGGTGAAGACGACGAGGATGATGATGATGATGATCGTGACGGCGACATCGACGATGGCGATGAGGACGATGGGGGGGAGGGAGCGAAGGGCCAGGAGGCGGAGGGTGCGGGGGACCTGGTGGCCGTGACCCCGGTGACCCCGGAGCCGGGACGCCACTGTGAGCAGTGCGACGCGGCCGGAGCCGTCCCCGACTCCGACGAGCTCAAGGTGATTCCCACGTTCACTGGCCGTGTCCCCAAACATCACCGGCTGTCGAGTAGCGAGTGGCGAGTGGGCCGCTGGGCGAGACTGATGACGGTGAGTGGCAGGCAAAGCAGGGAGCGCGGATGGGAGTGGGGAGGACGTTCGCCGTCGGGAGATGGAGCGGTAAATTTCAGAGTGGGGAGGAGGGGTGGGGCAGGGGGGAGGGGGGGTGCTATGTGGACTGTCGCAGAATCGTGCGACACGGCGGAGGCTCGCTGGAGGAGTTCATTCAGCAGTGGGTAGAACACGGTGGGGGTTGAGAGATGCGCTGCGTATGAGCTATAAACGGTAAATGAAATAGCGATGGCAATTTTGGATTGATCATGGCTGATGGTGATGATGATGGTAATGATGGTGGTGATAAGTGATGATGATGGCGATGATGACGATGATGACGGTGATGAATATTGTGATGATGGGTGACAAAAATGGTGAAGATGATGATGGTGGTGGTGATGATGATGCTGATGATCTTTCCCAGGAATCTCACCTCAATTCCCCGCCCGCGTTGTCCGTGGCAATTCCTCATTTTCTTTTCTTTTCCCGGGCGGGCGTGCGGGGTCCCCGCCGTCAGTGGGGCCATGCGGTGGCAGCAGCAGCAGGGCAGCAGCAGCAGGAGCAGCAGCAGCAGCAGCAGCAGGATGGAGGCGGAGGAGCGGGCGAGTTCCAGTGCGGGGAGTGCGTGCGCCGCTTCCGCTACCGCAGCCAGCTGGAGAACCACGCGCAGCGCCACCGCGGGGAGCGTCCGCACGTGTGCGCCGAGTGCGGCACCGAGTTCGCTCAGCTGCACCACCTCAAGCAGCACGCGCTCACCCACAAGGTGAGGGGAGCGGGGGGGGGGTTAACAAATATAAAGACACAGATCCCCCCGTATAGCCTTAACAGACTGTTGGGGCAAGTGCTGTTAACGAGCGCTTATGAAGGCCTGAGCGGCACACGAGGGGGCTGGGTGGCCAACACCGCGCCCGGTCGCCTTTGTCTCCCCAGTGGCGATGTTTACACACCGCTCCAGGTACTCATTTGAGACTGAGTCTACCTAGGGGGAGACCCAGGACCGGTTCAGATAGTCTTCACTGGCCGTGTTGGCCGCGAGCGGCTATTGAACTCGGGTCCCCAGGTTCGTGACGCCAACCGCCGCACTGCCGGTGGTGGGCGCATTGCTCACGCAGCAAGGCGAGGGGGGAGAGAGGGGGGGGAGGGGGAGAGAGCGCGAGGGGGGAGAGAGGGACAGGGAGAGGTGGAGAGGGGGGGAGGGGGAGAGAGCGCGAGTGGGGAGAGAGGGACAGGGAGAGGTGGAGAGGGGGGGAGGGGGGCCAGTGTGCGGTCGCCCCTTTCTCAACCCACCCGGTGTGCCCGTGCGCAGGGTGTCAAGGAGCATGAGTGCGGCGTGTGCGGCCGCGGCTTCACGCTGCACGCCAACATGAAGCGGCACTTGCTGACGCACAGCAGCGAGCGCGCCCACCAGTGCCACGTGTGCCTCAAGGCGTTCGCGCAGAAGCAGACGCTCAAGGCGCACATGGTGGTGCACTCGGACAGCAAGCCCTTCCACTGCAAGGTGAGCGAGAGGCGGAGGAGGTGGTGGAGGAGGTGGTGGAAACGGAGGGACTTCCCGGTCGTCCACCACCTCAGTACCATCACGACAGATCAGATCACCGCCGGTCCAACATCATCACCACCACCACCACCCTCACAGAGAGTCCTTCCGTTGAGAGGTCAGCGAGAGGTGGAGGAGGAGATGGAGGAGGGATCTCCCCAATTGTCCACCACCTAGTCCAAGGTCATCAGCACCAGCAGCCCCGCCATAGGAATGTGTAATTTCCATCACATGCTCAGCTGCAGGGCTGTAAACAGGCGATGAGTACCGATGCCTTCAACGCTCATTAAAGCCGCAGGAAACCACCTCCATTGCTTCCATCACCTCCATCGCCTCTATCGCCTCCACCACCTCCATCGCCTCCATCACCTCCATCATCTCCATCATCTCAATCACCTCCATCGCCTCCATCACCTCCATCAACTCCATCATCTCAATCACCTCCATCGCCTCCATCGCCTAACCCACTCCCCCGTCCTTGTGTCCATCACCGCTCACGAGACCGGTTACGCGAGGTGGACAGACGGACACAACAAACCGCCTCTCACCCGCCCTCCCTCCCATCTCCTCCCCTCCCCCTTGCGCCAGGTGTGCGGCAAGGAGTTCAACCGCCTGCACAACCTCATGGGCCACATGCACGTGCACGCGGCGCGCAAGCCCTTCACGTGCCCGCGCTGCCCCAGCCGCTTCACCCTCAAGGGCAACCTGACGCGCCACGCCAAGCTCAAGCACGGCCTGCACTCGGGCGACGCGCTGGCGACCGGTGAGCTAATGGAGGGGGGGGGGGTGCGGGGACACAAAAAAGACAAAGATCGCCTCGTGTAGCCTGTCACAGACTGTTGGGGCGAGCGCTGTTAGCGAGCGGCAGCACCTACGAAGGGCGGCACTGCGGCACACGAGGGGGTGTGGTGGCCGGCACCACGCCTGGCCGCAGTTGTCTCCCGAGTGGCGATGTTTACTGCACACCGCTACTAAACCAGCTACTCGTTTGAGGCCGAGTCGACCTACGGGAGGCCCAGGATCGGTTCAGAGAACCGTCACCGGCATTGGTCGTGGGCGGGAATCGAACTCGAGGCCGCCAGATTCGTAGCGCGGCGCGCTAACCGCTGCACTTACCCGGCCACACACAACAAACACCAACAACCCCGCCGTTCGCCACGAAGCGACGGGGCCAGGCTAGGTGCACTTTGAGGGAACCACGCTAAGTGCCGGAAGGCTCGCCGCTGGCAAGGAGGTCACGGGACAGACCCAGCAGGTGCCATGGGTTGGCTGACTGAGATGACCGGCAGATGCGGCCAGCTGCAGCTCCCTCCTGTGCCAACTCACGCACACACGCGCACGCACGCACGCGCGCACACGCGCACACGCGCACGCACGCAATCGACGGCAGAGCGAGAGATTGTTGTTCCATGTGGCCAGCCGGATGTCCCCGGGAGATAATCGAGGTGGGCAGAGGTGGTGGTGGGGGGGGGTGGTGCCAACACTTTACTCCACCGCAAACGACCCCCTTCATCTGGAGCGGAAGCGTGTGTTTTTATATGATACAAAAAATAACCTCACAGGAATCATTCAGATTGCGATGGAAGCGCCGAGGCAAGCGCCCCAGGCGAGATTCGCAGCGGTGGAGTCTTTTTAGAAAGTGAACGACACACGCAGAGAAAACCGTAATAGCAACCCACACACTCAAATATGCCCGCCCCCTCTACCTGTTTAAGTTTTTCAACCCCCCCTCACCTTCCCCGTCACACGTAAACGTACACAACAACACCCCACTTGTGGCTTACACTTTGTGTGGGACAGCAGCGAGCACAATCTCCCCCCCTCCCCCTCCTCCTCCTCCTACTCTAAGCTCAGGAGCGCAGCGTTCGGGACTTTTGTCCGTGGGATTTCTGTATCTCTCCCCCGCCGACACGGATCGGTATGTTCCCTGTACCGCGCTCCTACTGAAATAGAATGCAAACATTAACACAACCTTTTTTCTCCTGATGACGATTGCTTGTGTTGCGATCGAAACGTCGTAGTGTTTTGTACATTATTTTGTTCTACGTGACTTTACCGAAAGACCCAAATAATATGAACTCCTGCGGTCACGAAAGCTTTAAGTCAAGAACGAACACAACTGCGGCCACTGTTTTTGCAAGATGGTCACCATTTTTGGTGGCGAGCCACAGCGACACACACAGACACAGCGACACAGGCAGACACAGAGACACAGACAGACGCAGAGACACAGGCAGACGCAGCGACACAGACACAGCGCAAGCCGTGACGGTGGAGCGGAGCGCTCAGTGAGACCCACTGCAGTCTGCGATCCTTCAACAGAGGAGGATGAGCAAAACTCTACAAGCTCTCCCCTGAAGCCCTCTCGTAATCTTTAGCAGACCGCGTCATTGGCATCGAGCTCAACATTGCTGCCATCATGCACGAGAATGGAATGTCTGGGTTTTGGGTCTTAAATCATTGTACAATTGGTGTGTCCTTTAAGAAATATTCTTGGGATGTTATCTCTCCATTTCTCGCTCTACCTCTCCTCACTCCCTCCAAACGACCTGTTATCTTCTGACTCCCTGCATCTCTCCCCGTCCCCTCTCCCAGCGTCCGTCTCTCTCCGTCCGTCTCTCTCTGTCACTGACTCTGTCCTCCTGCAGCATCCTTGACCACTCGTCCCACCAATCACAAAGCCCTCGTCACGATCGCATCTCCATCTATCTCCTGATGATATCCGTGCACATCGGGGAGAGGTGGTGGTGACACTGGGTCATAACGCCCTCAAGCGCTATTTCACTCATCAAAATAAAACGTGTACACTGTGTGTATATATATAGGTGTTAAGTCCACGTGCGGTCTTCACACGACGCTATAACGCGGTGCATCCATTCCGGGCACACGGAACGACTTTCTCGAGTGGCGTGATACAGCACGTGGGAGCGTTACCCTCGGTGGTCAAACTTCGCGTTTCGCCTTCTTTATGGGGGGGGGGGGGGGGGTGAAGAATTATTTTTTAGTTTTCGCTTCACGCGGCACTTTTCAGGAACGCATCTACCGCGTTAAACGAGGCCTTGCTATGCATGCGTGCATGTAGACGTAGACGTTACACGCAGCGGGTAAGAGAGGTCGTCTGCAATGATCAGTGTGAGAAGAGGGACGACTTCGAGTGGACGCGCTAACCTCGCTGCGCTCTCCGGCACGCAGACTCCGCCTCGGAGGAGGCGATGGAGTGGAGGCCGGACGCGACCCCCTACGACCTCGTGGGCTTCTCGGGCCGGACGAGCTCGGGCCCTGCCGAGGGCTCCGGGGGCCACGAGGAAGGCGGCGGGCCCAGCGTGCGCGGGGCCGCGGCGGCGGGCGTAGGTGGAGGGTGTGCACGGGGGAGCTACGGCGGAGACGCGGCGAGAGGCGGGGAAGCGGGGGAGCAGACGCCGGCCCTCGGAGCGGAGAAGGGCTTCTTCCGCGTCGACGGTGGCAGCGAGCGCGCCAGGAGCCTCTCCGCGGGCGCCAGCCCGAGCGTCGGCGGCCCGGGCCTCCACGTGAGCCAGAGCCTGAGCGTAGGGCCGAGCTTTCCCGCGGGGCAAGTCCTCCACGTGGTGCAAGGCGTCCCGACGGGTCACGGCATCGCGGTGGGACAGGGCCTGCCGATAGGCCAAGGCCTGCCCGTGGGCTCGGCCCTGCCCGGGGGCCGAAGCGTCCCGACGACGGACCACGGTCTCCCCGCTGCGGGCCAAGGCCTTCCCGTAGGCCCCGGTGTGCCGCCGGGCCAGTGTGGCCACCAGGCTGGTGGCGGCGCGGGCTGCGACGGGGCGGGCTGCCCGGCGTTCACGTACGACGCCAAGGGGGCCCTGCGCAACATCAAGCTCTACTTTAGCAGTGCGTGCCACTAGCGGCGCTCGTGACACACGGGCTGGCACGACCTGACATGCCTGGCACGGGCTGGCCGTGCCGGTGGATGGTTGAGGTGGGTTGGGTGGCCAGGGCTGACGGCGGCCAGCCTGTCGGGGCTATGAACCGGACACAGTTCAGGAATTGACATATGCGTGCGTGTGTGTTTTGGGCAGCACGAATTGATTTGTAGCAAAGATCTGATGGGGAAAATCTGTGGATGAGGTGGCAACCCTAGCCCTAACCCACTCGCCCATTCACTCGCCAAACCCATATTTTTCAAGTCGGCACGAGCTCGATCATCGCAGCTGTGCTTGCAGCTAGACTGCGATGAAGTTCAACACAAGACCCATGTGAGCGGGTAGATCTGTGTTACCAATCGGTGGTTTTCCGCCCGGACGCAGGTGGCTTATTCCCCCGGACTGTCCTGGCCAAACCCGGACTTGGTGGCAACTGCCTGCTGTGAGGTTCGATGGCCGGTTGGCATTCGCTGTCCATTCCTGCTTGACGTAATGAGACGGAATAAGCAAATTACCCGGTGATTAAAAAAAAAAAGCCACAGGGAGAAATTGGCACTCGTTGGCATCAGCAGGAGGCCTCCGGCAAGAACGCTGCCGGCTCACGACCCGTGTTCGATTCCCGATCACGGCCACCAACACCAATGACGGCGAATATCTGATGAACCGGTCGTGGGATTCTCCTAGGTCGACTCGGCCTCAAATGAGTACCCGGTGTGGTGTGTGTTAACATAAGCACTGGTAAGGAGACAAAGGCGGCCGGGCGTGGTGCTGGCAAACCCCACCCCCTCGTGCGCCGTGCCGGCCTTCATAGGTGCTGCTCGTGAACATCACTTGCCCCGGCAGTCTGTTAGAGGCCATACGGGGGGGGGGGGGGGGGGGTCTCTTCTGTCTTTGTGTGCGAGTTGAAATCCCACCGCACTAATCTCGCGTCGCGTCCCATTAAACTCGCAGCTCTCTCATTGTCCACGTCTCAGTCTTTCAGTCTTTGCCCCCCACAGTCCCATCCTGCACCCACCACCCCCCTCCCCCCACACACACTCCCAGTTCGGAATGAAATGGGAAGGAACCGGAAAGAGACGAAGACCTCACAGAGAATGGCTTGACGACATCAGAGATTGGTGCCCAGAAAGATGTGGCAAGCGCTTGAGCTTATTGGCACTACAAGATAGAGGAGAGTGGAAACAACTGACGAAAGATGCAGTGGACACCCACGGGGCTATCTGACCCCATGGATCACGATGACGATGCCCCGGGGGCTTAAGCGTTAGGGTCAGCTGCCACTGTCTTGTAGGCACAGAAAGCTGGGGGTTGGTACAGGCGGTTCATCAGCAGTAGCTGTGGCACGCAGAGCTGTTTCTAGGGGAACGACGAATCTGGGCGACCGCCCCGGGCCCCGCGCTTTGGGGGGCGGGGGGGGGCTGGTCCACGTGGTGTGTGGGTTGCCCCGGGCCACGCACGCACCCACCCCCACCCTATGGACGGCCCTTGCTGGCACGTGCCCTGGTACAATGGGGTTGCTAAACGGGATTCCCGATTCCCAATCATCGCCCCCCTTCTCACATCCCTGCGTGTGGGCCCCTGTGCAATTGTAGCACCTGCGCAATCAATAGCTGACACCTCCGCATAGCAACTCTTGTACAGACAGCAGGTGTAGTAGAGACAGCAGGTGTAGTAGAGACAGCAAATGCAGGTAGACACAGCAGGTGTATTAGAGACAGCAGGTGTAGTAGAGACAGCAGGTGTAGTAGACACAGCAGGTGTTGTAGAGACAGCAGGTGTAGTAGAGACAGCAGCTGTAGTAGACACAGCAGGTGTAGCAGAAACAGCAGGTGTAGTAGACACAGCAGGTGTAGTAGAGACAGCAGGTGTAGTAGAGATAGCAGGTGTAGTAGATACAGCAGGTGTAGTAGAGACAGCAGGTGTAGTAGACACAGAAGGTGTAGTAGACGCAGCAGGTGCAGTAGACACAGCAGCTGTAGTAGAGACAGCAGGTGTAGTAGAGACAACAGCTGTAGTAGAGACAGCAGGTGTAGTAGAGACAGCAGGTGTAGTAGAAACAGCAGGTGTAGTAGAGACAGCAGCTGTAGTAGAGGCAGCAGGTGTAGTAGAGACAGGTGTAGTAGACACAGCAGGTGTAGTAGAGACAGCAGGTGTAGTAGACAGCAGCTGTAGCAGACACAGCAGGCGTAGTAGACACAGAAGGTGTAGTATAGACAGCAGGTGTAGTAGACACAGCAGGTGTAGTAGACACAGCAGCTGTAGCAGACACATCAGGTGTAGTAGAGACAGCAGGTGTAGTAGACACAGCAGGTGTAGTAGACACATCAGGTGTAGTAGAGACAGCAGGTGTAGTAGACACAGCAGGTATAGTAGACAGCAGCTGTATCAGACACAGCAGGTGTAGTAGAGACAGCAGGTGTAGTAAACACAGCAGGTGTAGTAGACACAGCAGCTGTAGCAGACACAGCAGGTGTAGTAGAGACAGCAGGTGTAGTAGAGACAGCAGGTGTAGTAGAGACAGCAGGTGTAGTAGAAACAGCAGGTGTAGTAGACACAGCAGGTGTAGTAGAAACAGCAGCTGTAGTAGAGACAGCAGGTGTAGTAGAGACAGCAGGTGTAGTAGACACAGCCGCTGTAGTAGAGACAGCAGGTGTAGTAGACAGCAGGTGTAGTAGAGAGAGCAGGTGTAGTAGACACAGCCGCTGTAGCAGATACAGCAGGTGTAGTAGAGACAGCAGGTCTAGTAGAGACAGCAGGTGTAGTAGACACAGCAGGTGTAGTAGAGATAGCAGGTGTAGTAGACACAGCAGGTGTAGTAGACACAACAGCTGTAGCAGACACAGCAGGTGTAGTAGAGACAAGGTGTAGTAGAGACAGCAGGTGTAGTAGACAGCAGGTGTAGTAGAGACAGCAGGTGTAGTAGACACAGCAGGTGTAGTAGAGACAGCAGCTGTTGTAGACACAGCAGGTGTAGTAGAGACAGCAGGTGTAGTAGACAGAAGGTGTAGTAGAGACATCAGGTGTAGTAGAGACAGCAGGTGTAGTATAGACAGCAGGTGTAGTATAGACAGCAGCTGTAGTAGAGACATCAGTTGTAGTAGAGACAGCAGCTGTAGTAGAAACAGCAGGTGTAGTAGACACAGCAGGTGTAGTAGAGACAGCAGGTGTAGTAGAGACAGCAGGTGTAGTAGACACAGCAGGTGTAGCAAAGACAGCAGCTGTAGTAGAGACAGCAGGTGTAGTAGAGATAGCAGGTATAACAGAGACAGGTGTAGTAGAGACAGCAGGTGTCATAGACACAGCAGGTGTAGTAGAGACATCAGGTGTAGTAGAGACAGCAGGTGTAGTAGAGACAGGTGTAGTAGAGACAGCAGGTGTAGTAGAGACAGCAGGTGTAGTAGACACAGCAGGTGTAGTAGAGACAGCAGGTGTAGTAGACACAGCAGGTGTAGTAGAGACAGCAGGTGTAGTAGAGACAGGTGTAGTAGAGACAGCAGCTGTAGTAGAGACCGCAGGTGTAGTAGAGACAGCAGCTGTAGTAGAGACTACAGGTGTAGTAGACACAGCAGGTGTAGTAGACACTGCAGGTGCAGTAGACACAGCAGGTGTAGTAGAGACAGCAGGTGTAGTAGAGACAGTAGGTGTAGTAGACAGCAGGTGTAGCAGAGACAGCAGGTGTAGTAGAGACAGTAGGTGTAGTAGACAGCAGGTGTAGCAGAGACCGCAGGTGTAGTAGAGACAGCAGCTGTAGTAGACACAGCAGGTGTAGTAGAGACAGCAGGTGTAGTAGACACTGCAGGTGCAGTAGACACAGCAGGTGTAGTAGAGACAGCAGGTGTAGTAGAGACAGTAGGTGTAGTAGACAGCAGGTGTAGCAGAGACAGCAGGTGTAGTAGAGACAGTTGGTGTAGTAGACACAGCAGGTGTAGCAGAGACAGCAGGTGTAGTAGACACAGCAGCTGTAGTAGACACAGCAGGTGTAGTAGAGACAGCAGGTGTAGTAGGCACAGCAGGTGTAGTAGAAGCAGCAGGTGTAGTAGCGACAGCAGGTGTAGTAGACACACCAGGTGTAGTAGAGACAGCAGGTGTAGTAGAGACAGCAGGTGTAGTAGACACAGCAGGTGTAGTAGAGACAGCAGGTGTAGTAGACACAGCAGCTGTAGTAGACACAGCAGGTGTAGTAGACACAGCAGGTGTAGTAGAGACAGCAGGTGTAGTAGAGACAGTAGGTGTAGTAGACACAGCAGGTGTAGTAGACACAGCAGCTGTAGCAGACACAGCAGGTGCAGTAGAGACAGCAGGTGTAGTAGAGAGAGCAGGTGTAGTAGACACAGCCGCTGTAGCAGATACAGCAGGTGTAGTAGAGACAGCAGGTGTAGTAGAGACAGCAGGTGTAGTAGACACAACAGGTGTAGTAGAGACAGCAGGTGTAGTAGACACAGCAGGTGTAGTAGACACAACAGCTGTAGCAGACACAGCAGGTGTAGTAGAGACAAGGTGTAGTAGAGACAGCAGGTGTAGTAGACAGCAGGTGTAGTAGAGACAGCAGGTGTAGTAGACACAGCAGGTGTAGTAGAGACAGCAGCTGTTGTAGACACAGCAGGTGTAGTAGAGACAGCAGGTGTAGTAGACAGAAGGTGTAGTAGAGACATCAGGTGTAGTAGAGACAGCAGGTGTAGTATAGACAGCAGGTGTAGTAGAGACAGCAGGTGTAGTAGACACAGCAGGTGTAGTAGAGACAGCAGGTGTAGTAGACACAGCAGGTGTAGTAGACACAACAGCTGTAGCAGACACAGCAGGTGTAGTAGAGACAAGGTGTAGTAGAGACAGCAGGTGTAGTAGACAGCAGGTGTAGTAGAGACAGCAGGTGTAGTAGACACAGCAGGTGTAGTAGAGACAGCAGCTGTTGTAGACACAGCAGGTGTAGTAGAGACAGCAGGTGTAGTAGACAGAAGGTGTAGTAGAGACATCAGGTGTAGTAGAGACAGCAGGTGTAGTATAGACAGCAGGTGTAGTATAGACAGCAGCTGTAGTAGAGACATCAGTTGTAGTAGAGACAGCAGCTGTAGTAGAAACAGCAGGTGTAGTAGACACAGCAGGTGTAGTAGAGACAGCAGGTGTAGTAGAGACAGCAGGTGTAGTAGACACAGCAGGTGTAGCAAAGACAGCAGCTGTAGTAGAGACAGCAGGTGTAGTAGAGATAGCAGGTGTAGCAGAGACAGGTGTAGTAGAGACAGCAGGTGTCATAGACACAGCAGGTGTAGTAGAGACATCAGGTGTAGTAGAGACAGCAGGTGTAGTAGAGACAGGTGTAGTAGAGACAGCAGGTGTAGTAGAGACAGCAGGTGTAGTAGACACAGCAGGTGTAGTAGAGACAGCAGGTGTAGTAGACACAGCAGGTGTAGTAAAGACAGCAGCTGTAGTAGAGACAGGTGTAGTAGAGACAGCAGCTGTAGTAGAGACAGCAGGTGTAGTAGAGACAGCATCTGCAGTAGAGACTACAGGTGTAGTAGACACAGCAGCTGTAGTAGAGACAGCAGGTGTAGTAGACACTGCAGGTGCAGTAGACACAGCAGGTGTAGTAGACACAGCAGGTGTAGTAGACACAGCAGGTGTAGTAGAGACAGCAGGTGTAGTAGACACAGCAGGTGTAGTAGACACAACAGCTGTAGCAGACACAGCAGGTGTAGTAGAGACAAGGTGTAGTAGAGACAGCAGGTGTAGTAGACAGCAGGTGTAGTAGAGACAGCAGGTGTAGTAGACACAGCAGGTGTAGTAGAGACAGCAGCTGTTGTAGACACAGCAGGTGTAGTAGAGACAGCAGGTGTAGTAGAC